ATTTATCGTAGTCATGTTTCGTCACATATCCATGTAACATAGAAAATAAAATGTCTTTACATCGAACTTGGTGAAAAATTCTCTCTTTTCTATGATACATGTAACCATAATAGGTACACGAATAAGACCTTATAATTAATTAGGAACGCTATATACACTTCATGATAAAAGTTTAATTAAAGAAACATTTGTATTACCAATAATTGTCAGGTAATAATTTTATATTAACCCTTCGATGCTTCATCCGGATGAAGCACTTCTGAGCTCGTTACATGTATACATACATTCGCGATTAGATCAATATTCTCTAAGCCGTAGAGTCTAGGGAAAATGACGATATAGGGGAAACAAAAATTCTCAAAATCCTAATTGTGACGATAATAATATGAAAAATAATTTGAAAACAAAGTAACATAATTTTTAATTATTAAATATTATAAAACTTGATGGGGAGCCACAGACCTGTATACAATATACAGGGAAGCTCATCCTATACATCGTTGCCCTTCGCGGGAATGCCGAAGGGACAGGACAAGAGCCCTCCCTGCAAGAGGAGGGAGTCGGTAACTCGGGAAATCTAGGGGGAAGGCACTGCCATCTTCCTTCGAGAAGCCAACTATGCTTACTGCTATACATCTAAATTGAAATTGTAACAACGGTAAAAAAGAAACTTCGCGAAAACGACGCGGTCTGGAAGCGTCCAGACAATTTCGAGAAAAGCCAAGTATAGACGAGTAGCAGACGAGCGCGGAAAACGCCAAATTCATTCTTGACAACGCGATCGTTGATTACGGCGCGGCGGCCGCAAATAGCAACGAACGGATATAAATTAAGGGCTCGCGACCGAATCTGCCTATTTTGCCTGCTGTTAGTCGAGGGTAAGGACGGGATAAAACCATCGGCCGCTCCTGGTCGGCAGGCTCCGGCAGGAGAGTACGGCGATAATACCTGGACGCCTGCCGGAGAAGAGCGAGAGAGATTCCGATAGGAGAGTACGGCGATAATACCTGGACGCCTGTCGGTCGAGAAAGTACAGAGAATCTCCTGGACGCCCTAGCAGAATTAATTTTCTGGACGCCCGTTCGATATGGAGAGTTCGGCGATTTTACCTGGACGCCTATCAAACTGGAAAATTATGAGCATTGCGCTCACTGTAAAATGTCTTGTGCAAATAAATAAAAGGAACTGCATCTTAAACCTTGTAATCCCATTTAATCCAATAAATCCTGTCTGTCCAACAGATTCCTTGTGTTTCAAATCGGTCATGGCTACAAAATGAAATAAACATTTAAACGAAATACAATTACCATTTTTGGTAATTATATATATCTCGTCAAGCCCACCGATTTCGCTCATTTTTTAATATGTTGTTGGGATGATGATTCTGAGCAACTTTTTTCTATACATATAACCGCTGCTCGGCTTTAGTTTTCGAGATATTTGCAAAAGAAAGTTGCTACTATTCCAGTGAATTCTGCGTATATCTACACGTCCGTGGCAGTGTGTGCGTCACTGGGATGGGTTCTGTAAACACAGCATGGTATCCGTCAAGCGATATCCCAACAAAAACATCCTGTAAATAGGAGCCAAGTTCTTATGGCCGTAAAAGATTGTGAGATCAAACTAAATACGGCCAAGTTCGTTAGCTTAGAAATAACGCTTGCAATACTGAAAAAAGCTTTTGTGAAAATTAGGTTAAAAGAACGCTATTTAATTTTTGAAGAGTTACATGGAGGGGTAAATTATTCAAACTTGGCCGTTACCGAACACCTTTCATGGTCATTGGTTTAAAAAGTAACGGCCAAATTTGAATAATTTAGCCTTCCACTTAACAAGTGTACGAAATTATACCTATCCATCTGCCTCGGATGCCGAGGGTTTAAGCCTCTGAAAAACGGCTAAGTTGTTTCGTGTAAAAGGAGGTAGTGCGAGAACTTGGCTGGTGCACTACCGTGCACCCAGATACATAACGGGTGGAATTTAAAAATCCAATATTAATTTAACCTAACATGACCGAACCTAATCTAACACAAAATTAAATTAGTGAATTAGATTAGGTTAGGTTAGATTAGATTAATATACCGGCCACCATGAGGCGGCCGGCCGTGCAAGCCAAAATTCAAAATCATGGAAACCAGTCAAGTTCGACTTTTTAGTTCACCCGTTATACACCTTAAGCCGGGTATCCACTTGTTTCAAACGCCCGTATCGTATCACCGTTTCGAACCCTTTTGAAGAGGCAGGCGTTTCCATTTGCTGCGTGCTGTTTCTTTATTTTAGGAGTCCGTCGCTTACAATTAGTACTGTACAACTTTTATTACATCTGCAAGTTAAAGGAGGAATTTTTAGACTCGGTTTATAACTTGCAGATGTAATAAAAATAATCTCTCTGGTGCCATCAAATAGAATGCTTTTGAAAATAATGCGATCTTAATATTCTGAAGTTTTAAAAAATTACAAATGTTAAAAACGAACAACAAATGCGTATTCGTACACATATAGAAACTACCAATAATTGTCCTTTTTTATTTTTGGTTCTTTTTTTTGTTTAGAAGACACAGTTCAGAAATAGCAAACACTATTATAAGTAAAAATTGTCCAAAACATATCCTGTTTGGTATCATTTTAATCAGAAAAACGTCACAAATATTTTGGTAAAAGTTGTATAAGAAAAAAATGAAAAATAACAAAGTTCAGTCATTACATTAGTATTATCTCACTGATATATCCGATCCCAGATCATATTATTCCATGCCTCAAGTGTGATGTTTCCACTTGACATAGCTATTTGGGCCTTCACCTGGGTATGTTGTTTTTACGCTTCAAGTGGTCTCCGAACCTATCCTTTATTGGATTCATTTCAAAATCGATGAAATTATTTATAAACTTAATCTAATTTAATTTAGACAAATTTTATCGTCTAAATATATTTAAACAGATCAATTATCTTCGGTGATACGCTGTACATAAAAGAGCAATGTTAATAAGAACCTCTGTGATTATTAAAAAAGGACAATGTTAATTTTCCAGAGATTTTTCCGTTGCCGAGTATCGAAAGTTCTATTGGGCTATGATACGGAGGTGAAGGAACGGGCCGATCCGAAAATTGTCGGTTTCTTGCTGTTCAAAGGATAGGCTCGAGGACCACTTGATACGTAAAAACAACATACCCAGGCGAAGGCCCGAAATGTTATGTCAAGTGGAAACATGACACTTGAGGCTCGAGATAATATGATCTGGAATCGGATATATCAGTGAGATAATACTAATGCAATGACTGAACTTTGTTATTTTTCATTTTTTTCTTATAAAACTTTTACCAAGATATTTGTGACGTTTTTCTGATTAAAATGATACCAAACACGATATGGTTAGGACAATTACAATAAAGACACAGCATGCAGAAAATCGAAACTTCTCGCCTATAGGAGTTTCTTTCAAGAAATGAAGAAATACTGTCCGAGCCGTAGCACGCCGTGGCATGCAACGAGGCAACGTCTGCCTATTCAAAAGGGTTCGGAACGGTGATACGATACGGGCGTTTGATACAGGTGGATACTCGGCTTTAGCCTCCGCAACATCTCATCGGTGCACTGTACAAACGTATGAACCTTTTCTTCGATGCAACGGCAAAGAATCGGCAAATTTTTCGGATGGGTCCGTTGCCTCCGTTCTTTTGGAACAGCACGCAGCAAAACGAAACTCCTCGCCTATAGTGGCCCAGTCCTATTGCTGAACCGTTTCTGTCAAGAAACAAAGAAATATTGTCAGAGCCGTAGCACGCTGTGGCGTGCAACGAGGCAACGCCTGCCTCTTCAAAAGGGTTCGGAACGGTGATACGATACGGGCGTTTGAACCAAGTGGATACCCGGCTAGGTTTCGGCTGCCGCAATCTGCTTACTATAGTAGCAACTTTTGTTTGCAAATATTTTGAAAACAAGCGGCGGTTATATGTATAGGAAAAAGTTGCTTAGAATCATTATCCCAACAACACATTAAAAAATGTGCGAAATCGGAGGGGTTGGCGAGATATCGATAATTACCCAATTTTTCTTTATTATTATTATTTCGATTAGAAGGTTAATAATGAAAATTTAAGAACTATTACACTATATAAAAGAAGTTCCACTGTACTACAATTTATGCGGTGAACTTGTAGAAGAGCTACTCCCCCTCCGAGTTTGATGGTTTTTAAATATGTTATAAAATTCGATATTTTAAGCGACTTTTTTCCTCTAAGCTATATGTCGGACTCGATTAGTTTGTGAGATATTCACGAAAAACTGTAAGTACTATTGCATTGTCAACAGCACCACACGGCCCGACTTCCATTCATATAACGGGTGAGTTTAAAATTAAATTTAACTAATTTCAATAATTTTGACATTGGACCTGTCAAATATTGATATTGATATAGCCTTTTTTTTCATGGGGGAAATCTTCCAAAGACGCCCCCAGCCCCCCTGGGGAGGGGCCGGGGGGGAGTGCCGAATTTTTACCGGCTAAAACCCCCACGGTGACCTGCACTGGGCGTTAAGGTGGGCCCCGGGACCTGTGTCGAACACACCGGGACATATTGATATAGCCTAACCTAACCTAATCTGGATATGTAACAGTATTTAATTTTTCTATTATTTATACGTGTAGGTTAGGTCAGGTTAGATTACACTAATATTCCACGCGAATCAGATGTTACAATTTGATTTTTCAGCTCACCCGTTGTATGATTAAGAGCCGGACCACACGCTGTTGCTTACAGAAACGATAGGGAAGAGAGCCGGCGCACACATGGCCACGGGCGTATACTTATAGGCAGAATTCGCTGTAGTAGTAACAATATTCTTTCTCGAATATCTCGCAAACAAAAAAGTTGCTTAGAATGACAAACTTTTCAAAAACATTTAAAAATCATCAAAATCGGAGGGGGAGTAGCTCTTCTACAAGTTCACCATTTATGCAAATGAGACTTAAAATTATAAGGCAAACAATTATTTTTACAGAGTCTGATGATAGCATCGATAGTTCTAATCGGCAGTATTAACGCGAACCCAACGTACTACGTGAAACCCATTGAGGACGAGAACAATTACGCTGAAGTCCTGGAGCTTTCGCTTTTGTTTTACGAAGCACAGCGGTCGGGAAAGCTGCCAAGGGACAATCGAATCCCATGGAGAGGAGATTCGGCATTGAACGATCGTGGCCCGAACGGGGAGGATCTGACTGGTGGCTATTATGATGGTAACTGAAACATTGAAACAATAAGAATTAAATTACTTGATTGATTTAACAATGATAGAGGTACGAAAGAAGAGAACAATTGTTCAAGAAATAGAATTGTTATTCGTGTGATGTAGTTGAGAATATTTTAACAGCGCTCGTTCTGTGTTAACGAAGGAGCAAGCGTTGACTGTTACACTGTCCAACAAAAAACTTTTTTTCTGTTTTCGTATTACTTTTGTATTTTTAAGAAAAGTTCTTTATCTAGCGCGAATTCTCTATACAGTACCGAATTCTGTAGACATTTCCAAAGAAGAAACTATCTAGGGTAAGTGTTGGAGCAGTATGCAATTCGTGTAAATCGAAAAAATATCTGTCAGTGGCACGTGCACGGGGTTTTGCCGCCAGACGCCCATAACTCGCTCTCATCGGCTAGTCAGTGCCGTAGCTATGCGTAATCAACACCAATATTGGGGTTTAATATATTGTACATTCACTTTTTATATCTATAATGTTTTTCTTGTTATTATTATTATTTCATAATTATTATTTCTCCTTCCGTGTTATTTATTATTATTTTTAGATACCAACAATAAAATGATAAAATACTTTAATTTAAAATTTAAAAATCGATTGACGAGCATTACGATTTTATCAATCGACACCCGATTGAAGACAGTTTTGAAATTTGTTTATGATATAGAAAAAATATTTATTGTTTCGCCGATTGTATCGAGTGTTGTATTTCGAAACAGCGCTAACAATAAGCGTTCTTACTTCCCCATTATCGCTAGACCTGAGAGAATAGTATTACATTTTCATCTCGAAAAGGCTTTCAATAGTATTGAATTTACAAGAAACCTTCTTATAATTGTCTTAAAAATCATAAAGTAGAAAGTTATATTTCCATGATAAATAAGAGTCTTCGCTAAGCGTTTGTTCGTACTGCTCGCGAGTTGTAAACATAGTTAGATATCACCAGTATAATTGAAACCTAAGTGTACCCAAAGCAGCCACCTAGGCTGTTTGGGTGCGATTCCGTGTCTGTGTACCCACACCAGCACGGAAACCGAACCTGAAATGACACCAATACAGTTAAAAATCTCAAAACTGGGGTACAGTAAGACCTTGCGGAACGTATTAAATCCTGCAACCAATAATGATGAAATGACCACAAGTAAGTCAGCTAAATCCACACAAAATCCTCATAATAGCAAAAAAAGAAAAATCCACCCATACGTCGGTACTTTAAACCCCGCAATAGACCTCTGCACACACACAAAAAACTATCTCGTGGCTAGAAGAAATTCCTTCTGATAACATGTACAGGGTGCAAAACAATTAATGGTCATAGCTTCAAGGGGTGAATCTACATCCTAGGATCAGTGGACCAAAAAATTTATAAAAAAAACTTGCGGCAAAATTGTTTATAACATTGAAAATTAATATTAAATTTTTTTTTACCTCAACGTATTCTGCGCATTGAAAAGAAAAATAGTCTGAGAGGAACCATATGTCGCAAACAAACCGTTTGGTCAGAAAAAGTTGTTGAAAAATTCACAGTGATTTGGTTGTGTAGTGTAATACGTAGAGGCATGAGTCTACCACCACTTGGACGTATGTATCTTGACCATCGTACTGACTTGTGCATTTTGCCCAAACGAATGCTCTCGGCGAACGAACGTGAAAGGGTATAGCAGGATAAGATGGTCAAAAGTGCCCTTGAGCCGATTTTACTTCGCAATACACCATTCGATATCTTATCCCAAAAAACCATGGTACACCAAGTTTCAACCCTGTACCTCAACCAGGAGGGTAGTTACAGGGTAAGAAAGAAAAAGTAGTTTTTCCCATATTTCTCCTATTTAACATTATGCAAAAAATCTGCAAAAATTCTAAAATATTCTAGACATGTTTATTTATGATTGTGAATTTTTTCAGATTTTTCGGTTGTAAATTCCAGGTGTGAAATATCAAAAACGCAAAAAAAAATCGAAAAATTGAGATTTCGGGTAGAAGCTTTCGAGCGACTAGATTTTTACTTTCACAGAACAGTAAAAGCTGGATATATGCAACAAAAGTTTGGCTGGATATATGCAACATCGCTATCCCCTCCACTTGGGGGGATCCCCCTAAGCCGAACCGAGCCGCTCGGCGAGGAAACCGTGTAATATGATCCGACCGTAATATCGGTGTGACTAATACTAATTGAACGATAAAACTTTTTTATTTTTAACTTTTTCTTAATGAAATTTTTACTAACGCATTTGTGAGATTTTTCTGATTAAAATGGTACCAAACACGATATAATTTGAATTATATTTATTTATTAAAATAATAATAAAACTGTACATATGTACAAGGCAGGCCGTACACCAAAGATACATCAAACAACGTGTTGCATGTTGCATGTTGTGTACGAACGTAGAATAGGTGTCGCGGCACGGTACAAACGATTTGTACGAACGTACAATAGGTAACGCGGCACGGTACAAACGATTTGTACGGACACAGAATCGATACCAAGACTGGATATATGCAACATTAAATGCCCAGAATCGACACCTCGGCTGGATATATGCAACGTCTGGGTCCCAATGTTTGTTGCATATATCCAGCTTTTACTGTATTGATCTTTTCCGGTAGGGATACCCACGCCGTTGTACCAGGACTCAAGATACGTCCAAGTGGCAGAGCGGTGGTAGACCCATATCTCTACGTATTACACTACACAATTAAATCGCTGTGAACTTTTTAATAATTTTTCCTGACCAAACGATTTGTTTGCGACAAATGGTTCCTCTCAAACTATTTTTCTTCTCAATGCGCAGAATACGTTGATGTAAAAAAAAATTTAATATTAATTTTCAATGTTATAAATAATCGTGCCGCAAGTTTTTTTATAAATGTCCACCGATACTAGGATGTAGGTTCACCCCCTGAAGACATGGCCATTAATTTTTTTACACCCTGTACAGCGTATTGACAGTAGACAATACACCAACCGATTCAGCTGACTCCTCCAATATATGGAATTGCTAGAGCAACAAGCAGGCAACAACAACTACATCTTAAAACAATTAAAAGACAACCAAATAAAAATTCAGCTAAAGTCGTCAGAACTTGATAGGAAAATAGTGGACGCTTTAAAACGCAAAAATGCAAATTTTTACACTTACCAAACAAAAACAGATCGTAGTTATAAAGTAATACTCTGTGGAATTCACCCAAAAACAAATGCGAGTAAAATCATAGAAGAATTAAAACAATACAACCACTCTGTCAGAACAATACAAAATATAATTAAATACGATACTAAGCAACCACTGCTACTCTTTATAATAGAACTGGAACCAAATAATAACAACAAAGATACATATACACAACATAAAAAAACTATTACTTGTTTAGAGGTGTCGCTTCCTTATCTGAGGGGGGGCTGACAGGGAACTTCGCGTGACGGGCTGCGTGCGAGAAGAGAGATCTGCCCGAGATATACGCGAATAGAGTGTTTCATCAGTAGTCTTTCAAATTATTTCATTATCGTCTTTGTATCAAAACGGCCTATTCCGAGAAAAAACCGAGAAACATAACGACGTGGAGGAGGCAAGCGGCTACCACTGTCGAGCAAACATTACGACCCGAAAGGAGTGAGGAAGGTTTCAGGAGGAGACGTCGACGAATCGGCAAAAGGATCCCCTTCACGCAGGAGACGAAGACGATCACCAGCAAATACAACGACAAAAGCCGTTCTTCTTCATATTATATTGTAAGCGTTATCCAGCGTCAGCGAAAGAGCCATTGTTGTACAAAAGATAAATATATAACACGTTTCACGGTCACAGGAAAAACTACTGTAACAGACCCCCAGTCTGTGTCAAGTGTGCAGGTAACCATCTCACGACATTGTGTCCAAAGCAAGGTAAAATCGAAAACGTAAAGTGTAGCAATTGCCAGGGTAAACATCCTACAAACTAAATACAAAGGCTGCATAGTGCGGAAACAGCTGCAATTGAAACTATACTCCTCGTTAAGGAAAAGAACTGAAACAAATAACAATTTTTTGCCAAACAGCGTAGCATATAAATCGACACCAACTCCCACATCTAATCATGCCCAACCCTTGTGCACAAGCAATAGAACATACGCCCAAGTAACCGCTGAACATAACGTAGACCGACAAAATCAGAACCAAATTTCCTCTACTCACTCAAACTACCTCAATGAAACAGAATCCTCCTAATCCAATCAATTAAAAACACAGAACTCATAATCAATATGCTAGCAACACAAACTACACTGCTGCAGCAACAAACCCAGCAAATAACTTCCATGATAGAACTACTAGTAAAAATCGTCAATAGCAACAAATAATGAATCATTCAATCAAAATAGCGGCATGGAATAGTAACGGACTACAACAAAGACTACAAGAACTTATAATGTTTATTCACACTTACGATACTGACATTATGGCAATCTCTGAAACTCACTTTATAACAAGAAACTACGTTAAAATCCCACATTATACAATATATGAAACCAAACATCCATTAGAGAAAGCACACGGAGGTACCGCTATCATTATAAGAAATAGCATTAAACACCATCTCCATAACAACACCAAACACGACTACCTGTAAGCATCAACGATAACAATAGAAACCACAAACGGAGAAATACAAATATCAGCTATCTATTCACTCCCAAAGCACAAGCTCACTATGGAACAGTATGAGAACTATTTCAATAACCTAGGAAACAAATTCATAGCGGCCGGGGATTATAATATCAAACATAGGCAATGGGGATCCAAAAGATCATCACCCAGAGGTACAACCCTGTTGCGCACCATAGAAAGGCTGTCATTAACACCAATATCGACTGGCGAGCCCACCTACGGGCCAACGGTCCTCGAAAAGACACCTGACCTCATAGACTTTGCCATAACCAAAAACATCAGCAGGATGCACTTTAAAATATCGCCAAATTCGGAACTGAGCTCCGATCATACCCTCATG